AGGGAGATGAGTCTGAAAGCCTTGCCCATCTAAGGAGGCATAGCTACTACCCAGTTAGCTCCACCAGATATTGTCCTTGAGGCCCAGTGTTGCCAGATCTTGGTATTTTTAAGGCGCAGGCACAAATCCAGAATATTTAAAAGGAAAAAAATCTTTGGCATATTTTTAAGAATTAAAAAATTATTTTAATTTAGAGCTTTGCAGGCAGAGAGACTAGCAAATGCAAAGGCCCTTGAGGGGAAGGAGCCTCTGGCCATCTGCAGGGGGTGCTCAGGGCTTTGGCAAGATTTCTCAGGGGAGCTTCAAATCAGATATAGAATGGGTATCTTAAGGAGTAGAGTGGTGAAGAGGAAGGGAACCACCAGCTTTGGGAGGAAGAAGGTATAAAGTCTCTGTGAATCATTTAAAGTAGGCGTGCTTTTTTTTTTTTTTATGGGAGCCAAAAATCATTTTCCTATTTTTTTAAACTAATTTTATTCTATTTTATGAGCTTTTCTGTCATTCAGAGAACTTGGAAATATTCATTCTTCCTCCTACTGAATCTGCAGAGTGGGTGGGAGAACTTTAAAAAGCTCCTCCAAACCCACTTTCCTCTGCCAAGGGGTGTGAAGGGAGGACAGCTGGGCAGTGGGACCAGAGTTGAGAGATCCTTGAATCACCTTGGCATTGAGCATCTTGGAAGCTTCAGTGGTGTTCAAGTCCTAAGGATGTGGCACTGGGCATGGCCCCAATGGGATTGGTTCTGGGAAATAGGGAAGTGCTCTTCAAGGTCAAAAATAGAGTTTATTTTGCATATATTAGAAAGTTATCTTAAAAAATAATAAATGCAGTGTGATTTAAGGAAAAACACTACACAAATAAAATAAAAAGATAATTATTCTGATTTGTTTCCTTCCTGAGTTGGTCAGCCTCAAAGTCAGTTGGGGACTTTTTCTAATTCTAGACTAGCCTTCTAAGCAGGCCCTTTTTAAGGTTCACTAAATTAGTGGAATAATTAGTTGCTGCTTAGATTTCAGAGGCCAGTGGGAAGTCTAAATAGTTGGGAAATGGGTTGGCTTGACCATCTTTTGGCTGGGAAACATGAAATTTGGGATATGTTCTTGAAACAACCTGGAGGTTTTGAAGGCAATATATTGAGTGGGATTCAGTGACACGCCAGTCAAACAAAAGACCCCTTAAAACGTCAAAAACCACAAAAAGGCAAGCATGAGTAAGTACTTTGTGCCGTGATGGACAGCTGCATGGTGCTGTGGGAATATGTAACTGGAGGGCTCCCCATTGGTCCAGAGCTGGTTGGGTCGTCCAGATTGATGTTTGGTAGGAACGAAGACTTTCACAGCATCCAGTATTGTTCTTTATTCTTGGGATGGGGTAGAGGTGAGGGTAGAGATGAAGGAGGTAGGTAATGGTTCAAGGTGTTTGGCAGGGCCTGGAGCAACTCTCGTGGTTTCTTTTGGAGGATTGGGTCAGAAAAAGGTCTTGTTTTAGGCACGGATATAATGGTACTGTGGGGAACAATGAAAAATTATTCCCTAAGAATTGAGGGCCACCAGGAGGGGCCAGTTAGTATCTTGAGCTTTCCCTAGACCTCTTGGCGCCCATGCTCTTCCAAATTTGCATTATGACCCAAGAGAAGAACCCTCAAGTTGAGGGGACTCTTGTAGTAGTGAAGGACACTGTTCCTTGCTGCTGGGCCTTGCAGTCAGGAAGGCTGACCTTGGTCAGGTGCGGGTTTCTCTGGTACTGGGCTGTCTGAAGGTCGCTTGGTAGCATCTGGTGATGTCAGGGAAGAGATCTCTCTAGGCTGATTCATTCAAGGAACCAGCTTACTCCGATCTGTCATTTCGTGGTACACAGCATTTACTTTGCCATTCTTGGCTTGAGAGTGCTCAGGTTATTACTTGACCACAAAGTGGAAATTTGGGAAGAGCAGTGCTCAGCTGGCTTGGCGGGTTTCCAGGCACTGCATTGATCTGCAGTGTCCTGCTCTTTGGGCAGTGAGGACCTGATCAGAGTGCCGTGTGCCTTGGAGCTGTTCCTCGAAGGCCACCTTGACTGGATGCTCCCAGACCTTCTGTTGTGCCAGGATGAGCCTACATAGGTGTACGAGGGCTCAGGTCTCTGCTGAGACTGGACAACTCCGGTACTTTATCTGGAGGCACTGGCAATAGGTCATAGTATACAGGGACTGGAGCAAGGAGGGAGGCCACCTTCACTTTACTTAGTTTTCATCCTGGCTGCTGGCATTTTATGTATTTTTATTTACTTAAAATAAAAAGGAGTTAAGTGATGGTTGTTATAATGTGCTGTAGGGAGTGGGTAAAGGTACTAAGCATGTGCAACTTCCCCGGAGCCTGGATCCTTGAAGTCCTGCCTCAGGATGCTGAATTAATGAGCTTACGGAGCTTGTTCGGGAGCTCCTGAAGCTTCCGGGTGAAACATACCCTTTTCCAGTTGGGAACCAGAGTCTGGACATCAGAATCACCTGAATAGTTCTCGGGCCTCCAAACCAGAGATTCTGATTTGATGGGTTTGAGGCCGGGAAATTTTTTTTAGAGTGAGAAGGCTGTCTCAGCGATCCAGGGAAGCTCTTTTCACTCTTAAGTGAATTCTGCATACTTGATTCCTCGTAATGGTCTTGAACACTGAACCCTAACCATAGCCATATGTTTGGTCTTCACTCCTCTTTATGCCCCTTTCCGAATGCTTTTCTTTGGGAGAGGCAGTCTGCACCCGCAGCTTTGCCTTAGCCTAGATCAGGAGTGATGCCTCATCTCTTTTATCCATGAAGAACAGGAGAACTCCTCCTGGGGACTTTGATGGGCATATGTACTGGGGCATTTTCTCATAATACCTCCTGCTTGAGGCTTGTCTGTGTAGTAGATTCTGGCCCTGGAAATCCAGGCCCTGAGGTGGAGACAGGACCGTCTTGTGACTGGTGCAGGAGAAAAATCTGTTGCCTGGCTTCTCAAAGACCTTGTTTCTTCGGCCCTGCAGACTCTGGGATAGCACTGGTTGCCTGGAGGGAGTCTTGGGTGGGCATTGCCAGGGAGTAGGTGACACTCTTGATGAGGACACCTGGAGAGATAAACTCCCAAGAGTGCACATGCAGGGCTGCGCATTGAGTCTTAGCAGATGTTGGGACACATGGCATAAGACAGAGCTTTTTAAGACCTATGAGGCCATGTGAGATTTGGACCAGGCCTCATTGGAGGGGCTGTTGTCAGTCCTTGTTTTTGCCCATGTTTTCCCATGACCTGTAATTCTCACCTTCCCCTCAGTTTGCCCCCTGCCTGTTCCACTCCCATCCCTGCTTTAGGGCTCCCTCAGGCCTCTGTCCATGCTGGGAAGCATTTGTTCGCCTCGGCTGCACTAGGACCCCCTGCTCAGTGCCCCCCGAAACACTGCCTACGCAGCTCTTTACACTTACCCATTGTTTTCAAGTTCTTTCTGAGAGTCTGGGCCTGTCTTTTACCCAAACAGGGCAACATAAGGGCAGTGACTGGGTCTTGTTCATCTTTGTATCTCAGTCACCTCGCACACTGCCTGGCGTGTAATAGGTTCTGTAAATATCTGTTGAGTGAATGAATCAATACATCTTTTGAGGGGCTGATATAAATAACTCCCACCAAAGCCTTATAGTTGAACATGGTTCACTTATTTACAGTGCTCGTACCTTGTACATAAGCTTATTTATAGCCTTGTAAAGGGAAATTTTTATAGCGTAAAGAGTATATTTTAGACAGTTTGGGACATTAACTGAGTACTTTTGAGGTAGTGGATGCATTGTATTTGTGAGAATTTTTTTGTACTTAGAACAGCAAAATTATTGAAAATGTCACAATAGAAAAACAAGCCCTTAGGGAACCTGATATAATTTACTCATATGTTTTTTTTGAAAAATGAAGGTGTGGTGAGCATTTTAGTACAACTTCAACTATATACTTAGTATATACTTCAACTATATTTCCTTGAATTTAGTATTAGCTTTGAGAGACACACACAGATCTCTCTCTCTCTCTCTCCCTCTCTGTGTATAATATTTATTTTTGTTTCATAATATAAAACTACTATGCAATGGGGCATAGTGAAAGGATGTGGATTGGCAGTCAAGTGACCTAGATTCTAGAATTAGCTCTGCCTCTAACTGTGGAAGTGGGCAAGTCAGTTTTCTGCTTATACTTCTTTAAAATGCAAGTGTTGTACTTGTTCAGGGATTGCAAATGTCTACAGGAGTGAAGTTACTAACTTAAATTGCTATATGCGATCTACCATTTTTTCCTCTCTTGGAACCACAATCCTTTTTCCTTCTGTTTTCCCACTTTGTTAAAATCATAGGTAGAGGGAAATATTTCTGTACCCCAAGAAAAACAATAATGCAAGGGCAGTGGTAATCACAGCTCTTCTCTGTGTTGAGACAGTAGGGAGTGGTGGGGATTATGGCATATTGGGGTGCCAACCTTGCCTATGAAGGGCAGCTTACTTAGCACCAGCTGATCATATTCATACATGAATATGGGCCAGCTTGACAGATCCTCTGTTTTTTTGTTTTGTTCTGTTTTTTGTGTGTGTGTGTTTTGTTTTATTTTGTTTTTAAAGAGAAGCCGGAGGTCTGGGTTCCAGAAGTCTGGGTTTTATGACATCTCTGATTTTTCAGTTTGGCTTGTATTTTCTAAACATACTCTATGGCTCTAATCCTTCTACAGGCTAGATGTGACCTACTGGGCTCTCGCTTTGTGATCCCCATTGTACATGATCTCTAACACTTCTTTCTGCCCAAGGTCCAGTGATTCGAAGGGGGACCATTTCATCTGGTGAACTGGAGATTCTTGTTCTGCCTGGGGAAGTCAGAGTGGGAAGGGAGTGGGCTGGAATGGGAGAATGGGGGTTTTGAGTCTAAACAGGGTGCCTTGCAATTGGTGTTTGGATGACCTCTGTGGAGAGAGGCCACAGGTACCTGATTCATACCAGATGTTCTGTGTGTTTGTCATTGCAGGAACTGGCATTTGTTGGAAGAGTCTGTGAAACCCTCTGTCTGCCCAGAGCTCCAGGACCAATGCATCTTTCCATCACCTTAAACCACTGGTGAATATATGCGTGTTTTTTTCTTCTGCAGTGAAGGGAAATATTTTCAGTGGATGATAGGATGTGATTTTCACGGATCCACACTGGCCTTTCTATTATGGAAGCAAAGGAGGGACACTAGGCTGGACCTCGGCATATCTGGGTTCTGGTACCTACTGGGTTCTGCCACTTTTACTGTGGGATGTTAGGTGAATTGTTGGACGTCTCTGAGCCCAGACAGAGATGAATCCTGCCTTGCTAAAAGAGATTGCGAATGTGAGAAGGCTTCAAAGGGAATAAAGTGCTTGGCAAATATAAGGTAATCCTGTTTGGCAGGGCAATTCTAGGCTAACAAATAAACCGTGAACACGTGATGAAAATGTGAATTTTAAATACCTATTTTCTGAGACCTCCAGACCTTCAAAAGATTTGCATTTTCTTTTTTTTCTTCTTTCTACCACTGCAGCTGCTGGTTTTTTTTAAGAAAGACGAACTAATTGCATTTCATAGTTACCTTTATTTTTATTTGCGATCAGATAATTTCACAGTTAACAAATGATCTTCCTTTTTAGAAAGAAAATTATTTACTCATTACAGCAGGTAATGTTTTGCTTCTGTGGCAGTTGAAAGAGGAAAGTACGTGTCCTTAACAATAATGTGTTCCAAAGCTGAGATGAGAGTGCTTTGAGCCCACCAGCTAGCTGATGTTGAAGGTCTCGTGTGAGCTGTGGAGGGGCAGGACCCCCTTGAGCCGAGGAGGCAGGAAGACCTGTGCATCGATAGCAGACACTCTTTTGAGAAAAGCTGGCTTGTTTGACGCTGCCTGGTCAGCTCCCACCATGTGGACCAGGTGCTCCTCTGTCCCTATGAGACAAATCCCAGTGGTACTGCTACCTGGGGAGCTTGCAGGGTGCTGGGTGCTGGAGTGGGAAGGAAGGGCAGTCAGGACAGGCAAGCTTGGGGCTAGGGACCCATCTCAGGCTCGAAAAGCTCATTGTCCAGATTACTGTATCTAAAGGGATGTGGTGGACATTCTGGGTCCCATAACTGGAGTCCCATCTGGTAGGCAGGAAGAGTTCTGTGGTGAGAGTCCCCAGGGAAGCAGATGGCCTCAGGTGGGTGGGATACTTTACCCACTCAGCAAATATGTATTAATGCCCAATCTGTGCCAAGGCACTACTCTGGGCACTGGAGATTCGGTGGCCACAAGACAGACTGTCCACATTTCCCTGGAGCTTAGATCAGAGCAGGGGTGACAGACAAGAATGTGAGCTGCGTGAGGGCAGGAGTCTGTCCATCCTGTTCACTGCTGTATCCCCAGCTCTGAGAAGAGCACCTTGCTCGTGATGCGTGCTCACTAAATATTGTTTTGTGAAGTAAATAACTAAACAGATATATGATTTCAGGTATTAATAAGTGGTGTAAAAAAGAAAATAAAGGGAGGGATTGGATGGGGTTCCTTTTGAAAGAGTGATCTGAAAAGGCTTCTGTGCGGTGGGGGGCAGGGAGAAAGGGGGAGGAATTTTGTGCAGAGATCCGAATGGAGTAAAGAAATCTGGGGAGGAGTGAAGAAATGTTAAGCAGAGGGGGCACAGCAAGCTAACAGAAAGGGCTTTGACGATGGTGGAGGTTGGCATGATGGAGGACCAGGAAGACAGCCAGTTTGGCTGGCCTTGAGCTGGGGATAGTCAAGGGGAGGGAGAGTGATATGAAATGAGATCAGCGGTAGGTGGGAGCCAGGCCTGTAGGCCATGGTAAGGAGTTTAGGTTTTACTCTAAACATGATTGGATACCACTGGAGAAGTTTGAGTAATCTAATGATGTGATCTTTCTGTGCTTCAAAATTATTTGTCTGGGTCTTGAGTGGAATAGACTTTGGGGGCAAGAGTAGAATCAGTATAGCCTCCAGAAGGCCCCTTTAGTGGTTCAGGCGTGACTCAGATTAGTGTGGTTGTTATGGGGTGATGTGAAGCAGTGACCGTCAGGATTATATTGAGAGCCTGCTGGGTTGGGGGTGATGTGAGCAAGAAGAGTCAAGGATGAGTTGGTGTTTTGGGGTGAATGATGTTGCTATTTACTGAGATGGGTTACAAAGAGGGAGGTTTGGGGGAACCCTAAGAGTTTTGGTTGGGACATATTACATTTGAGATGCCCATCTGATATTCTCATAGAGATGTAGAGTTGCCTGGGGCTAGAAATGGTACTTTTGAGAGTCATCAAAATGTAGATGGTATTTAAAGTGCTGAGACTGGATGAGATCACCTAGGGAGAGAACAGAGGGATAGGTAGGATCTGAAAAGAAGAGAGGGAAGGCAAAGCGTGGACTTTCCATATATAATCTCTACTAAGAAGTAAATGAAAACACGTGCTAATGAATATGATATGATTTCATGTAATGCAAATATAAATTATTTAAATGAGATAATGTGATATAAGTGTAGTAACAAAGCCTCTTCTTATATAAAAATTTTGGAAATACTGTGACTCCCCCAAAACAAAAAAATTTGTTTTAGTCATACATATCGAGAATAGGTTGGTGGTTGCCAGAGGCAGGGGTGGGAAGTGGGCAAAATGGGAGAAGTGAGTCAAAATGTGCTATCTTGCAATCATAAAATGAATAAGTCCTGAGGAAGTAATGTACAGCATAGCGACTATATTTAATAATACTATATTGCATATTTGAAAGTTCCTAAGAGAGTAGATCTTTAAAGTTCTCATCACAAGAAAAAAATTCTGTAACTATGTAGGGTGTCAGATGTTAACTAGACTTATTGTGATGATCATTTCACAGCGTATATAAATATCAAATCATTATGTACACCTGAAACTAATGCACTGTTGAATGTCAGTTGTACCTCAAAAGTATATAAAATGAAAGAATATTAGTTTTAGAATTGCATAATTTTCAATCTGGTCAGCTAAGTGAATGATAAATTGCATTTATGCAGTTGGCACAGGGCCGTGCCTTTGGCTGGCAAGCAGATAGATCCAGCATCCTTTGCCAATAGCTTGTAAACTACACTGTTCTTTATGTGCACTGGAACTTTATAAGCTATTTTGATTACTATTAAGTTTAATTCACTGTTAGTGTTTCAGATTTTTTTCATCCTATAATCGTATCATCCAAAAGTTCATTAAATGAAGGTTCACTAAGTGAAAAACATGCCCAAAAAATCAGTCACTTTGCAAATGAAAGTTAGACGTGATAAAATTTTCTGAAGACAGTCAAACGGGCACCGTGATTTGCAGTACCTCAGTTTAGGAAGTAATTTGGGTATCTTTGAAATAGCAAGAATAAATGCTACAAGATAAAAAGCAGCAGAAATATATTCTGATGCTTGTAATAGATACATGCATTTCCAGTACCATCCATTGAATTCAGTTCAGAATTCCACACATTTTCATCTGTTTATGGGCTTCTGGCATAAAACACAGCTGTTACATATTGGTTTTGTCCATTTTCCAAACTGTCCTCCTGAACTTCCTGCATATTCTCATTGGGCTCCTTAGTTTTTCCATTCTGAGGTTACCTGGTGAGTTTCTTTAGTTTTGTTATCTCCAGGCCCCGTGGACAGTGTGTTCCCCTTCCCACCATTACCAGCTCAGCGCCTGCCAGCCTCCTCTCTCTGGCCTTGAGCTTGGGCCCCACCTATCTCTGACTGCCCTGGTGAGCCCCTAAGTGCAGCCCTCCCTCCAGGCTTTTTAAAATATCCTCAAGATTTCCTCTGCCGTTTTCACTTTTCCCCAGGCCTGGTCTTCTCAGGCCTTCTGTGGAATGACAGGAGAATGGGGAACTGTGCAGTGTTGAGAGCAGTGTGACACTGCAGCTTTCTACACTGTGCTGTTGCAAACCACTTGGGAAATGGGCAGCCTCGACTTGCTTTTGCATGCATTTCCAGACCCTCGTATTTCAGTGAAAATATCCTCAATGGGACTTCTTTAGCATCTAATCTCTGAAAAGTGAGCATTGATTGTGTGGTATTCTGTATCTGTAACCAGCGGTTTACGGCAAAATGAAGATTTCAGTGAAATGGTATTCAGGATGATTGACATCAGCCCCGGTTTTTATTTGTCTTCTGCTCCACAGAGTGGAACCTAAAGAAGATTCAAAAAATATGAAACTTACTGGCAGTCATATTGGGGAGGATTTCTCCTCCCTGTTTACTTCTTCAGTAAGTGATTTTAGGAATAAAAGGATGGTACTTTCTTGTGCCCCTAGAGACATAGAGTGGTGGGACAGTTAAAAAATGGTGGTGTCCTTGAGTTAAAAGAGGAACAGTGCTTCCCTGGCCCGGCAGCTCAGTTGGTTAGAGCGTCATCCCAATATGCCAAGGTTTGCGGGTTCGAGCCCCCAGCCAGGGCACATACAAGAAGCCACCAGTGAATGCGTAAATATGTGGAACAACAAATCAACTTTTCTGTCTTTCTCTCTCTCAGATCAACCAATAGTAATAATAATAAGCACAACAGTGCTTCGGTGCTTGTGTGCATGTAGACCATCTAGACCATCTCAGCATGAAATGCTGGGGATGCGCAGCCTTGTGGGGAGGACAGTGGTGTAAGGAAGAGACTTACTTTTCACTGTGCACCCATTTATACTTATAATTCTTCTGTACCATGTTTATATATTAACTTTAAAAAGCATAACAGTATCCCTTTTAGGCTTAATCCATGATCTAGAAATATTTAAGGTTCCTGCACTACTTGGTTTTCTGAGTGCTCTTGCTCGATGTGTATTTTGACTGAGGTCATTGCCTGCTCACTGTCCATTGCCTTTGTATATTCGAGGTGTCATGCTCATAAGCAGTTTGGGACTAGATTTCTTAAAAGTTGAATTTCAAAGTTTTGCATGTTAGGGATATGTCAGGCCAGTTCCTCCTTCCTTCCCTTCTTTCAAAAAGGATTTATGGCTCTTTCTAGCCAGTATTTATTCCGCTGCTTTAGACAAATATGGACTGCCATGAGCTGAGCCACAAATCCTGGCCATTTCAACTGGACAGCTCTCTGCTGCCCTTCCGAGC